GGCCCTCTGGGGTTCTTCCTGGGCCCTCTGGGGTTCTGGGCACACCTCTACCTCAGGCTGGAGCAGCAGTGGGTGAACCCACTTGGGCACAGTGGGCAGCCTTTCCACCCTCAGTGCCCAGCCGCCCTGGACGAGCTGGCCATGGCCCTGGCCCCTGCCCCTGTCCCAGGTGAAGCCAAGACAGTGAGGCCTAGGCTCTCAGTGGGCCTGGGCCTGCACCTGGGCCCTCTCCGTGCTCTCCACATCCTGCCTGTTCCTTGGTCCCACATGGCAGCTTCGTGAGGGCCAGGAGAGGTGACCCTCAGACTGTGGTGGCTTCTCTGCCCCTCGGAGGCCACTTATGTGGGAGCAGCTGCTCTCGCTGTGCCTGGCATCCTCCTTCACCCCGCAGCTCCTCCCCACCAGCTACCAGGGGGGAACTAAGTCAGGCTAGAGCAGAGACAGAGGACCCAAAGGGGCCTTGTTGGGCCTCCCTGTAACTGGCCCTGAGTGCCACTGAGACCAGAATCTCAGCCCTGCTCCGAGCAGCTGTGCAGCCCGCATCTCCCTTGCATCTGTTCGAGGGGCACAGTGGCTCTTGGGTTCATACCCAGAAGGGAGGTAACTGCCCGCCCCGGCAGGGGCCCTGAAAGCTGAAAGCTCCCACGTCTCACTTCCTCTTCCTGAGGTGCAGACTGTCATCATCCTGGGCTCAAGGTCAGAAGATAGGGTTCCCCATCCACTGGTCAGCCTGCCTGTGCCCCAGATCCTCCTGGGACCTGTGGTCTTGCTGCTGAACCCATACCTGCTGGGCCAGACCATAGGCTCTGCCAGCAGCCTGCTGGGAGACACTGGCCCTGTCACTTGGGTCCCCGGCACCCTCCATGCTGGCTTGCAGGCTGGGAAGTACTCCTTGACCCCAACCCAGGTGCCCACAGTCTGAGTGGTGCCGTGGCCACAGAGAGAGGGGCTCCTAGCTCTGTTGCTGGAGTCCTACTCAGCGGGGCCAGGTGCTTGGCCCCAGGTCCAGTCACAGGGGCGGGAGTGGGGGACACAGTAAGATAGGGCCCTGAGCAAGTCTCACACACCTGTCCTGCCCATCTGGACACCTGAGTTCTTGCAGGGCCTTGGAGGTGCAGAGTTCACAGAGCGAGGGTCACTACTTGGCCTGTCCCGCCTGCCAGGCACCTGGCAGCCTCTAACCACAGCCTGCCCGCTGCAGCGCAGGGGACCATCAGTCGTCCCGGGCGGGCCAGCCAGAGCTGGTCTATCTATTATGCATGCTCCTTCCTGCCTGCTCGGCCCCACCAGCCGGCCCCCTCCTCTGGGAGGGCTTTTAACCAAGTGCATTAGGCAGGGCCAGATGCCGGTCTGACAGATGTCTGTAACGTTAGCCCCGGCTCCCTTCTGCTCCCTGCCCAGCCTGAACTCCTCCCACCATTCCCAGCTGCCAGAACTTCCCGACTTCAGTGCCCCTGCCCAGGCTCCTCGACACCTGCATCCCTGCCAGGTCTCTGCCACCAGCCTGGCCACCCCCGGGGGCCTGGCCAACTTTCAGCTTCTGGCTCCCGGGGAGCTGAATGAAGATTCCATCTGGGTGATTATTATTCACATGATATTAATTAATTATTAATTGCAATTAATCTCCTTCATTTCTCCCCTTCTTCTGGGGTGGGGAGGGCCTGGCATGGGAAAGGGAAGAGGGCAGGTAGATCTGGGATGTGTGGATGAACTTGGGGCCTGGGGCAATTTCCCAAGGGCCTCCCTTCAGCCAAGATAGGGACAGAGCAGCCTGTTGGTGCTGGGGAAACCGAGGCAGGGCCAGCACTACGGGGTTCCGTTCCAGAAAGCCCACTGCGGCTGCAGGCTGCTGTGGGGATCCCCTGCCCCCCACCGCCCTGCCCAGGCCCATTTTGATCACAGCCTCCGCAGCAAGAGCAGGGCCGTGGGGAGGGGGACCGAGGCCCAGGCAGCCAGGTCCCTGGGCCAAGGCCGGGTTCTGGAGAGGAAGCAACCAGCGCATGGGGTCCCCGCACCCCACACCGTCCGCACTCACCGGACCCCCAGGCGGCTCCTGGCGGACGCGCGTGTCCAGCTGCTGCCTCCGCACTTCGCCCCCGGAGCTGCCCCCAACCAGCCGGCTGGGCTCGGTGACCTCGGCGGCCGTGGGGCTCCCCGGGCGCCCCCAGCGCAGAGCGGCGCCGGGACCCTGAGCCCCGACCCCTGCGGGAGACACGGCGGCTGGGACCGGCCGGGCACGCGGGGGCGGCAGTGGGGATGAAGGCGTCAGTGGTCCCCGCCCCCGCCCCTCGGTCGCCCAACACTGCGGGAAGCGTGGCCGGGCGCGCAGTGCACTCACCGGGCGGGGGCAGCAGCGGCAGGAGCAGCAGAGCCGCGAACGCCCCGCGCCGCAGCCGCCGCATGCTTCGCGCATCACCCTCGGCCGGGCTGCGGCGGCGGGAGGACGCG